GATCGAGCATAGCAGAACAAAGCAAATCGAGATACAGCGTCGATGAATGAATGAGGGCTAAGGAATTTGTCGGATTGGATTTTGAAATCCGTGGTATATGCGGTGGAATTGTGAAATCAATTAATTAAGAAATTTGTTGGAATTGGAAGGATTCCTTCACATCTATTATGTGAACCAAACATGGCATTTGGAATTTAGTCAAAGATTTGGACATTCCAATTCCATGAACCAAACACCCCCTAAGTGTATTCGTGAATATAGGTGAAAGATTGATGATTTGAGATGGAATTTCTTCAAGATTGGTGTTGTTGGAAGTGACAGATTCAATTCAATAAGTTTCAAAATTCGTATAAAATCAACCATTTGTTATAATGAGATGTTATTTATATGAATAAAAATATCTATGAGTGTACCAGAACTTTGTAGTTTACACCAAAACCTATTTCTGAGTTTAAGCAACTCGAAAACATTGGTTTTTTCAGCCCTGTTTTGCAGCTGCGAAATTTCACTCTGTTAGTGTAAATTCTGTAGTAATTATACCAGAGCTCCAAATTATGTGAATCCAGTTTCTTTGAAATCCTAAGAGGTATATATAAAACTTCCATTTTTACATGAAAGTTTGCTTTGTCTTCTAAGTATGAGAAAAAGGCTTAAACTTTAGGTGTTAAGAATATGTTAGCTAATGTTTTGATATGTAGAGATTGGATATTAAAAAAATTTGTTTAGGGTTCTATTAATTGTATTGAGTGTTTATTAAGTGTCCTAAGAGTATTTTAAGGATATTTGAAGGTCCGTAAGATCTTTTTAACTATAAGGACTTGTAGGAACTTGAAATTGATAAGAATTGTTGCCGAAAGTCGTCTAAGAATATTTTTTTCTAATAAGTGTAGGTAACCCGGAAGGAGAGAACCGTTCATAAGCCTTAAGTCTCTTGTGAAAATTTCTAACACTTCCAAGGTACGAATATTTACATTTTTTTAATACGTGGTTAATCAAATGTAGTGAGTATCCATTCCGCGGAATCTTGATCATGGTATTCATCCCCAAAAGTGGAGGTTATCAAGATGTTATCCATAATCTTTTGTTTTTATGGGATGTCTTGTTTTAAAGACTTTGTATGCTTGAGACTTCGATCCATTAACAGTGTATTCTATGATTATTTCCGATAAATTAATTTAAAATTTTCATGGTTTTATTATTCTAGTTATCCCATGTTAAATTATTGATATGATTAAGGAGTTTGAGTTTAAGGTTACTGAATTTAGTTTTGACTAAGCTCAGTACTCAGGGAACATGTATTGAGACGCCTCCATGATGGCTAAAATAGTAATGGCATTCTCATAAGGATTATGGCCAAGCCAAATAGAGAATGTTGGATGCATCATTGAACCGAATATCATGTACCATGTTACCAGATAGAGCCGAATACCAATTACATTGGTTACCGGATAGAATCGAATATCATATCTCTCTGGTTACCGGGGAATGAGATGGTGTGGTGTCCAACACTTCCATTCCATTACGACACCTGATTAGATTGATCATCCATCAGGAACAACGTATCCTAACGATACGGATGACCTTCCTACCTTGATTTTTTTTATTTATTATATAAGCTTCAATTTTAGATATTGACACTTAAATCCATTTCAACTTTTATCGTAACATCTTCTTGCATTTATTATTTTATCTTGTATTTATAATGTTAATATTAGTTCACTGGGAAAATTTTGCTCAGCCGAGGTTTGTGTTGTTTTACCTCGACGGATTCAAGATCTAACCGGGGGGCAACATGAACGGTCGAGATGGCTTAGGATGCAGAAAGAATAGTTTTAGATCAGTACTTTTGCTATGTAAATATGTTAAACATATGAATATTATTTGGTTGTAATGTAATCTTTTAAACATTATGTTAAAGCTCTAAACTTTGATCTAATATGTTTTTTATCCATTTTTGGTTGTGTCACGCCTCATCTTAGGTCTAGTAGGATGGGGGTGTTACATTGTGGCAAGTAAACATTCAATATAACCTCTTTGATTTCCATGTCCATGTCCATGTCCATGTCCATGTCCATGTCCTCTTTGTGAATCTCTGAAACTTGAAGTTTGATTTTCTTCGTTCCATATCCATAACCTCTTCCTCGATCATTTAAGCCTCCTCCTCCTCTTACATGACATGAAATCCACCTCTTTGGTTTTCTAAATCTTCCTTCTTCTCCTTTAGAGACAACATTGACTGGCGTGCTTGATCCAAAATTACTTCCTTTTATTTAATCTCGATCTCTTCATGAGCTTGCAATGAGCCGCCCCACAAGTTCATCAATTGTCATAATGATCAAGTCCCTAGATTCTTCAATGGCTACAACAATGTAGTCAGTCAAATCTGGAATCTAAAGAACGAAGTCCCTAGATTCTTCACCATTTGTTTTTAATTGGTTAACTACAGAAAACAATAATCGAAAACGAATTATGACTCCATTTTATGCAAAATTTCCAACTCTCCTCCAAGAGTTGGCAACCAAACTCTTTTTACCTTATCATCTCCTTTGAATGAAGTTTGCAAAATCTCTCTTGCTTCTATTTTCTCGCAAGCGGCTTAAAAAACATGTCCAAAGTTGATCTCGTTCCTGGCTTTAAAAAACAATTTGTTTGAAGAAGGGTTTAATTTCTATGACATGACATGACATGGCTTGTTATTTGTCAAGAAAAAATAAACTTGTTGCTTCCATTAGTCTTTTCTCACTCACTCCTCGAGGTTAAAACATGTCTTGTTTTGTTGGTGTTGAAAAAGGAGTATCCAAGTTATGGCATATATATGATAGATAGATATGGTCACTTGAACTATGGGGACTTGCAGGAAGAAGATGATGATGGTAAGAGGTTTGCCTAAAATTTATCGTCTTGATCGATGCCATTGCAATTTATTCACTCAGATCTTTGTGGTGATGAGAGTTTCATCTTATCGTTATTTCATCTCTTTTATTGATGATTACGCACAGAATGTTTCGGTGTATTGTGTCAAAGAAAAGTCAGAAGCTTTTCAAAAATTCAAAGATTTCAAAGCAGAAGTGGAGAATTTTACAAGGCTACAGATAAACAACTTCACAAATGGACCATGGTGATGAATATTTTTCAAATGATTTTGAGAAATATTGCAACGACAATGGCAATCGACAAGAAATATTTTTCAAATGAAGAGAAGGAGGAAGTCTTTAAGAATGTTGGAAATGATGATCAAGGAGTAAATCCTCCTACTTCCCCAAAGTAGCCGAATAAGAAAAAAAACAAGAAATCTCCGAGAGTCATATGGTGAGTTGAACAAGATGATACTGTATTTTTTGCTTTCTTTGTAGGGGAAGATCCAATTTCTTTTGATGATGCTTATCAAGAAGAAATATGGAGAAAAGCTATGAAAGAAGAGACCCGCTAGCAAAAAATAAAATGGGTGTACAAGACAAAGATGAATCCAGATGGTTCCATCAATAAGCACAAGGCAAGACTGTTCAAAAAAAAAAGTCTATGTTGATCAACCACTTGGATTTATCATGAAAGGAGAAGAAATAAAGTATACGAGTTGAAGAAAGTGTTGTATCGGTTGAAGCAATCACCCTGAGCTTTGTATAGCAATAAATAAATTATACGGTTCAAAGTTTAATTTAAGAGAGGCATTGTTGGCATGCATAAAATACATAAACTTGCATGTCTCTAGCTTATTTTGATGTCTAGGTTCATGTAGAAATATGAGGAGTTTAGGAACATGAGAAGTGAAAAGTCTTTGGAGTTTAAATTAATATAATAGTAAATTTAGGAAAGAACAATCAAACCACCCAAGAAGGAGACGAAATACAACAGTAGACTATTCAGCACCGATTTAATTACCGTGAGTCTTCTACCCACCCAAATAAGCGTTCGGGTCCAGCCGTCTAACCTTTTGGATAATCGGCTGCCGAGATGCTTCTTGGGCCATCGAAGCTCCGATAATATCTTTCTCAAAACCAACCAATCTCACACAGCTTGCTTTTTGAGAGATTAACTCTTACTCTTAGGCCCGACGACGATTGAAAGAAAAGAAGTAAAGCTTTTAAGTTCTTTAAATTTCTCCACTTTTCAAAGAATACAACATCGTCTGCAAATTGAAGATGAGAAGCTTCAATTTTATGTCGACCCAGTTTCACCCCTTCAAATAGCCCCTTAATTTTTTTGCTTCTTCCATAGCAATGTTACATGTAAACTCAAGGATCATTCAAGTCTAGGTTTGATAATATGATGTATTCACAAAATTCTATATTTACATAGATGTTTTGATACACGAATCTAATAACCACACGTTTGAAATTGGTAAATACTTCAATGGCAATTTAGTTAAAAAGGTTGTCAAGTGACTCAGAAAATGGAATTTTGAAATTCCAAACAAGTAAAGCTTTTGGTCCTTATAATCGCTCGTTCCATAACCGATTAACCAAATTTTTTCATATATTCACTTGGGCTTGACGGTCCTAAATTGGACCCCTCGCTGACCAGTTAACTGGTCCAGTTAAGAAGGCCCGCCTCTTTGACAACACTAATTTACAGTTATATGTGCAAAGAGTTGGATACCATGCAGGGTGTTTGACTTGGCTGTATCCGAGGTTCAAATCTTACCAAATGTGAAGAAGATGTGTGTGTTTATTTATTGAATTTGCTGTATATAAATATTCACAATATGCATGTCCAAGAACTTGGCCATGGGTATGTTGTCTTCCACAATATTAGTTTTGAATACACCAACAAACTAAACTACCAGTAAATAATGCTTAAGAACGAATAAATTTTGCATCAGAAATCATATAAAAGAAATCCATGGTCTTTGGTTTGCTTTTGTGAAGATCACCATAATCAACTCTACTCTTTTCTATGCATCTTGCAAGGATTTCAAGCAGATGAAATAAAATGGTCATAAAATTTCACCTCTTTTTATTTCAATTTTTCTTTGGATGATCTGTTGCGGATAGATAGAGAGCTCAATCATCCTTGTAGATCAATGTTGGGTAATCGGGCTTCCACATATTGTTTTCCACGTGCAAACGGATTTCTTCCTGCAAGATGAAAACATCATCATACGATCAATATGGAGGTGCAAATTGGCTACATAGAGTTATATTATATGAGCTAGTCTAAGAACTACGTTAAGTTCGGCCAAAATCACAAAAAAATATTAACTTATACATTAAAATATTTTTGGGTTAGCTGCAAAAATCTTAGTCTGCTATTGGTTGTTACATTTGCATAGTAGATGAGGTAACCAGTAAGGGTTCTTTCTATATACCTCCTAAATCCCATTAAAATTGCAACAATTTTCATCTGTGTGCTTTCTGTTGTTTGGCACGGGCCATGCGTTTTTACACTTGTAAATGGCATGGGCACCTTTTATCAGTTTTGTAACTGATGTAATTCTTTATAACCGCCACTAATTACGTCCAACAATCAATCTAAATTAATGGGGGAATTATTATCAGTATTAACATGGGATCGGTTACGATTATCTTGTGTTTAAATAGTATTGATTTCTGCTTAAATCGACACCTGAATTTGAGATTATTCTCGAGTGAATTTCATGATGCCCAAGCAGAATAGGGTCGAAATATCACTTAAGGAAAGCTATCTCTCATGCGACCTCAAGTTTTTATCCGGGTTCTACACACTCTTCTTTTCTCACGTTTTTCTAGATTTCCTCCCACAATCTTAAGTGATCGTTTTCGTTCTTTAAGAAAATGTTGAGTGATCAAACCGTGAGAGACATGACGACCAAGTTCACTATATTGGAGAAGTTCGAGGGCATCGATTTTCGAAGATGGCAGAAGAAGATGAACTTCCTGTTGACCACGTTGAAGGTGGTACACATGCTATGTACTCAAATGCCAGGAGGTGAAGGAAGACGAGACGCTGGAGATGACACGACGTCGAGGAAAATGGGAGAACGATGACTACATTTGTCGTGGCCACATCTTAAACGGTATGTGTGACTCCCTTTTTGACATTTATCAAAATGTCGAGTCCTCCAAAGAGCTATGGGACTCTTGAGTCCAAATACATGGTCGAGGATGCTTCTAGTAAGAACTTCCTCGTTAGTAATTCTAATATTTACAAGATGGTGGACTCAAGGCCTGTGATGAAGCAATACAATAAGCTCCTTTGTATACTACGACAATTTTCTCAACACGACATGAAAATGGACGAGTCCATTTTGGTGTCGCGCATTATTGATAAATTGCTCCCCTCTTGGAAAGATTTTAAACACATATTGAAACATAAGGAGAAAGAGTTGTCCCTTGTACAACTCGGGAGTCATGTGCGTATAGAGGAATGTCTAAGAGCACAAGAGACCGAGAAGCCAAAAAAGAAGGCGGTTTCTGTTCCTTCGGTCAATATGGTGGAAGAAGGAAAATCTAGTTCATTCAAGGGACAAGGAAAGTTCAATGAGGCCAAGAAAGGACCCAACAAGAAAGTTAACTTGTTGGACTTTGGTATGACCGGTCATCTTAAGCACGATTGCTAGGTTGTTAAGAAAAATAATGGAGCAAACAACAGTGGTGGTGGACAAAGTTCCAAGGATCAAAACTCGGGCAAGGTCAGTTTCTTGATCTTGGTTTTAATTCAAATCTGAATTATGTACCACTAATATCCAAATCAATTTTATTTGCAGGATAATGATGTTGCTTGGTGGATCGACTCGGGGTGCAACAAGTCATGTGTGCAAGGATCAACGTTGGTTCACTTCGTTGGAACCGGTTGAAGACGGATCCGTGCTTCACATGGAAACGAGTCCATCGCTCTCATTCTTGGACGTAGCCTAGTTAAACTAGAATTTAGTTCTAGAAAGTCTATTGAACTTTCTAATGTTTTTATGTACCGGAAATTCGAATGAATTTGGTTTCCAGTAGTCTCTTGAATAAATTAGGATATAGGCAAGTTTTTGAGTCCGACAAGTTTGTCTTGTCAAAGAATGACTCTTTTGTTGGATTTGGTCATTTGATAAATGGTATGTTTATGTTAAACTTTGACACTAAAACCGAAAATGTAAAACTTGCATGTTAACAAAGATTACTAGGAAACCTTTTCCTAACGTGAAAAGGGACTCGTCGGTGCTTGACTTAATACATAGTGATCTTTGTGATGTGCATTCAACTCCGTCTTTGGGTACTAAAAAGTATGTTCTTACTTTTGTTGACGACGCTCCATGCTTTTGTTATGTATATTTGTTACATACAAAAGATGAAGCGTTGGACAAATTTAAAATTTATAAAACGGAAGTTGAATTGCAAATAAATTGTTGTATAAAATGTTTACGCACCGATCATGGTGGGGAGTATTACGACCCCATGTTTTTCCAATCCGTAGGAGTCATTCGTGAGACTACAACACCTTATACACCATAACAAAATGGTGTGGTGTGGAATGGAAAAATAGAGTTCTCAAAGAGATGGTGAACTATGTTATTATACTCGGGATTGAGTGATAGATTTTTCGGTGAAGCCATGTTAACGCCTTGTTATTTATTAAATCGAGTTCCCAATAAAAGGAACAAGATTATTCCATATGAAATTTGGTTCAAGAAAAGAAGAAACTTGAATTTTATTTGAGTTTAAGGCTGTTGAGTGGTGGTAAGACTACCTGAACCCAAAACAACTTTGGGTGAGAAAGATATTGAATGCGTTTTTGTTGGATATGCCGAGCATTCCAAGGCCTATAGGTTCTATGTTATTAAACCTAATGATTCTATAGCGATTCACACTGTTATAGAATCAAGAGATGCATTATTTGATGAGACTAGATTCTCTTCAATACCTAGACCAAATGACAAAATTCCAAGTACTAGTGGAACTAGTGAGATTGAAGAACAAGCAATTGTTCCAACCAGTCTCCAATGAAGCGAAAGAGGAAGGATTTAAAAATCCTTTGGTCTCGAATACCATTTATACTTGGTGAGGGATCAAGAGATGAGATTGGGTCACAATTCTTGTACTGTTATTGTATTGAGGATCCAAAATCATTTGATGAGGCTATGAAGTCTCAAGATGTTGTTTCTAGAAAGAAGCAATAAACGATGAGATGGATTCCATCTTGGGGAATAATACTTGGCTATTATCGGAATTGCCACTGGGTTGTACACCTTTGGGATGCTAATGGATCTTCAAAAGGAAGACGAAAGATGATGGATCAATCGACAAGTTCAAAGCTCGATTGGTAATCCAAGGCTTCAGGCAACAGGAAGGCATCGATTCGATACCTATGGCCCGGTTGCAAGGATCTCCATGATTAGATTGTTGATAGCTTAGAGAGCCATTAACAATTTAGTGATTCACCAAATGGATGTCAAAAAAACATTCTTGAATGGTGGAGTTAAAAGGAGGAATTTCACATAAAACAACTGGAAGGTTTCATTATGCCTATGATTGAGCATAAGGTATATAAACTTATAAAATCATTGTATGGGTTTAGACAAGACCGAAACAATGACATCAAAAGTTTGATGAGTTTGTCTTGTCCAACGGTTTTATGTTAAACCAAGCGGAAAGTGCTAGGGGTGTTCAAAAACTGTGTGATCCAAAACCGAAGAAACCGATAACCGAAAAATCCAAAAATAAAAAAACCAAAAAAACCAGGCATTCACGGGTCGTTTTCGATTTTGAGTTTTAGGTATCCACGAGTACCCAAATATTATCGGATATAATACGTATATCATATTTAATACTGAATATTTATATTGTCATTCATTTATTAACCCAAAGTTGAATGAGTAAGAGTTTTTTACATTTTGGTGTCAAATATTATGGTGGGATGATCTAATTTGGTGGCATGAAATTGTGAAGGAATCGACGTTAACTGAAAAATGGATGTTTTAAACAATTAAACTTATTTTAATTTATAGTGCTTTGATTATTTTTATTTAGTTGTTGTGTCATTGTTTTAAATGTTATATTTCGGTACCATTTTTATACTGTAAGTTATATATTTTATAAATTTGGGTAAAACCCTAAACGGAACCGTGGGTAACCGCCTTATTTCGGTTTGGTTTGGTGCGGTTCAGTTCAACCTATGGTGCGGGTAGCCAGGTACTCACTCATGTGATTTGGTTCACATTTTCCCTACTAACAGAATTGAACCAAACTGTGAACACCCCTAACAAGTGCGTCTATAGTGAATTTGACACATCCGGTAACGGAGTAATCATTTGCTTATACGTTGATGACATGTTGATCTTTGGCACCGACCAAAATCAAGTTGATAAAACCAAAGAGTTTTTGTCATCAAGTTTCTCCATGAAATATATGGGGGAGGCGGAAGTTATCCTTGGAATAGGGATTAAACGTTGAAACAAGGGGATTGCAATTACACAATCTCATTAAATTAAGAAAAGTATTAAAGAAATTTAATTACTTTGATTGTTCTCCGGTGAGTACACCATATGATCCGAGAATGAAGCTTATGCCCAATTCGGGTGAAGCAGTGTCACAGCTTGAGTACTCAAAGGCTATCGGGTGCTTGATGTATGTCATGACAAGCATTACGCCGAATATGGCTTTTTCCATAGGAAAGTCGAGTAGGTTTACGAGTAATCCTAGTACTCAACATTGATAAGCAACAAGACATTCAAATACTTGAAGAGAGTCATAGATTATGGTTTGTCATACGTCGACTTTCCGGATGCAAGTTGGATTACAACCTTAGAAGATCACTCTTCTACGAGTGGTTGGGTGTACTTGTTTGGGGAGGAGCTATCATAGGCTTCCAAGAAGCAAACTTGCATCACGAGTTCAACTATGGAATCGGAATTTGTGGCATTAGCTGCTGCTGGTAAAGAGGTGGAGTGGCCAAGGAATCTAGTCCATGAAATTCCATTATGGCCGAAACCAGTATCACCCATTTCTATCCCTTGTGATAGTGCGACTACTTTTGGCTAAAGCTTATAGCCAAGTGTATAATGGCAAGTCTAGACACGTGGGTGTTAGACATAACATGATTCGTGAGTTAATCACAAATGGGGCGATTTCGGTTGAAAATTTTCAGCTACAACAAAATCTAGCAACGCACTTGACGAAGGGTTAGCTAGGGACTTGGTCAACAAGTCGGTTATTGGGATGGGATATAGTCCATCTAAATCTCTAATGGAGAGATACCTAATTCCCTTCTAGTACAAGTTAGAAGTTGAATTCAATAAGAAGGCTCACTCTAAGAGACTGGAGCACAAGTTGATCATCCCAAGGTACGTGCTCGGTACTACAAGTGAAGGAGGTTGAAGTAATACTTCTTCGTAGTTCTTTCATAAAAGTGCATGTGCAGTTGCATGATGAAAAAAGCTACCTATATGAATGTGAAGTGTGGCCGCTTCAAGAAGCTTGGACTTGGTTTTGTATGCACTCACGAATGGATAAGGACACATGACATGTTATAATGTCAGTTTTAAACTTTAGGGTCATTTAAATTCATGTGATGTTATTTTCTGGTGCTTAAATCGGTTGAAGGTTCAATCCATAGGACATCCTGATTGAGTATTTGAAATGTTTAATGTACTAAGATGAAAATTCAATCTTCTAGATATTTTCATTTATGCATGAGTTTGTTTTCCTATATTAACTATTGTTTGTGAATCAAGGATTGCACTAAAATAGGGGAGGAATGTTGGTGATTTTAATGAAATCATCGGTTCATTTTATGTAATTGGATTCACATGATAATAATGGGGTTAATAGCTAAGCTATATCACAAACAGGAGGTGTGAAGGGCACAATCGTGTAAGCTAAATAAAACCCGAGATCATTCGATGGTTATGTATGGGGAGTTACTAAGTGACGAATGGCAGTGCATACAGGGTGTGGCCTATTTGTTCATAAAAAGAGCATGGGTTGTGCTTGGAAACATAATGCTGATCATGGGCCATGTGCTTTTCCTCTTGAAAATGGCGAGGGCCGTGCGTTTATCGACAGAAGCCTATGCATGGGCCGTGCGTTTTTCCTCTTGGAAATGGCATGGGCCGTGCCTTTTTGTTTGTGTGCTTTCTGTTGTTTGGCACGGGTTTTTACACTTGTAAATGGCATGTGCGCCTTTTATCAGTTTTGTAATTGATGTAATTTTTCGTTACCGCCAATTATGTTCAACAATCAATCTCGATCAATGGGTGAGTTATTATCATTATTAACATGGGATCGGTTACGATCCCTCTTGTGCTTAAATAGTATCGATTTCTACCAAAATCAATACCGAGAATTTGAGATATCCTCGGGTGAATTTCTTGATCTCAAGCTTTTATCCGGGTTCTATACACTTTCTTTTCTCACGTTTTTCTGGATTTCCTCCGACACTAAAATGATTGATGACACTAAAATCACCAACTTGGGACTACAATTCTTTCTTTTACAATTCTGAGTGCACGAACCTTCATTTTCGAGTTTATTTGCCAACCTTTTTAATTATTAGCTTGGTGAGGATTATAGTTTTCTTTGTGTACTTCTCAATCAGCCTTTATCGTTGATCACTTGATCCCTCTTTTTTCTTAATCGATCTTCATTGTTGATTGATTTTATTCAAAGCATGGCAGAAACTAAGAACGTTGGACTGGTCTCTTGCTGGTAATCCAAAAGACAAACAACCTTGTTCCACCATATCCACGCATCTTCCGTTTTTACATGCTGACTAGTGATTTCTTTTTAATGTGGATGGAAAATTTCCTGATTGATTCCATGGGGTAAAATATGGTTACCAAATGGGGACCACTTTTTGGCCTCCGATCTATACTTTTGGGTCCTTAACTTCTATTTGTTTGTACTAGATAGGCAGTATAAAGGTTGCATGTAAAGCACTCCAAAAATCTTGCAGCAAAAGCAGCGAGATTGATAATTAGAAGAGGATACTATTCACACAAATTTGGAGATACCTTAGTCAGCCTCTGGAGATCACGAGAGTTCATTTCACGATATCCTTCTGCTAGATCCTCTTCTATCGCTTCAGTGATGACAGCAACAGCTATCTTTTTTGTTATATCACGTATTCTGGATGCACAACCATGACAGATACACAGTTGCAGTTAATAATTGTTACAAGTATTTCTTTGATAAACAAAACAATGTTTAATTTTATACCTTGATATTGGAGGGTATATAATTCCTTTGAGTACCTCATCCTCGGTCATACATTCAGCTAAACTGGAGTTTTAGCAATACAGTGCCAAAATCAGGTGAAACACGATAACAGACACATTCATCAAAGTGGCAGGACGGGTTTTACTTTCATAATTCAAGAAAATTACCACTCAGCTGCAGCTTGTAACATGCCATCTGAGATTATTCGAGCACCAGATAGAAGAGTACCAAGACCAATACTGCAGATCAGGATTTACTCAGATGAAGACTAGTTGAAGCAAAAAAAAGAATAAAAAAGATACATGACTTGTCAGATCAGTGATTGGAGATAAAACTGACCCAGGAAAAAGATACATATTGTTTCCCTGGTTGCAGTAGCCAATTTGTCCATTTCCTGCAAAAAGATATAACAAGTAGTATTTTATGTCAAACTAGTTGGCATAGGGTAGAATGAAGCCAAATATAAGATGCATAACACTTAACTAAAAAAACAGTATGCCATGCACTCCTATGTATGGTTTCACAGTTGACTACTATTTTAGTTTCAGTGTGTCTTTTCAATCACCCACGGCTTCTGGAGATTGTCACCATTTTATTCATCCCACCATTATCCTACAACCAACATTCTCATCAATCTCGGCAATCATTTGTAATACAGATCATAAATAGCGTTAATTACAGTATCAAATACTTCTGTCTGGACATGCTTATCACATCTTCCGCTTCCCTATAGCTAAAGTTTCACTTCATGTATTATCTTAGTCTAACTAAATTTGGAAATTTTTTCTAGCAGTGGCTCATACCTGAAACTTTGGATGAACACTTTGTCTAGTCCCATCAACCAACAGGATATCATTGGCAAAAAGCATTTACAATCGTGATCATATTATATATGCTTTATGAGCTCATCTATAACTAAAGCAAAAAGATAAGAACTCAATGGAGACCCACCCTATTTAATGACAAAACTAATATTTATCAAATGATTGGATCAACACTTTGGTAAATAGGACCACTCACATAAGTTTGTTTAGAGCATGTTGATATACAGTTCACCTCATACTTCATATTGACCATACACCATTCACATAAGTTTTTTAAAAGGATGTTGATATACAGGATATCTCGACTGTGTTATTATCACTCACAGACGAGGTGATTCACAAGGTTGCCGATGAAGAACTGGCAGCAGATTTGTGGGTGATATTGGAGTCCTAATATGTTGAAGTCCCTCCTAAACAAGTTGTTAAAACCGCGTTTATATTCACTTGCATGGGTTTGAAGGAGCATCTCGATGAGTTGAATTCCATTTTGATGGATTTGAAGAACATTGATGTTTATTAAACTTGATATTGATTTGTATTGATTGAAAAATAATAATAATCTGATACACCTTATATAGGTAAAACTAATTACACTTTGGACCCTAGACAATATTAATAATATAAACTAGACTAGTTGACTTAGTCTAACATTCCCCCGCAAGTTCAGCGCGGTTAGCAATCTGCAACTTGGACCGTAGAAACTC